CGATGGCCAAGTTGCCCTCGGCGGAAGTTGCGTCCGTAATTGCGAAGCGATCGAACATGACAGCCCTGCCCCCCCCCCTCCACACCAGCCCCCTCTGCAGTCGCCCGCGCACCCACACCGAAACCTCTTCGACTGACTGGCCTTTGAATAATGGCGCCACTGATAATTCACACAATTTGGGCTCAAACATTGAGCATTGCCTTCTGTTTCTCATGTAATAAGCCCTTCAAACAGTCGTTGGAATGCACCTGCTAGAAGGTGCATTCCAAAAGGGCTTTGATCGCAAAATATGCTGCGGAACCGTACGTGCGTGAACACAAAAAGAGTAGGCGCCTGCGTAGAAGCGCGCAAACAAAGAAAAAAAATGCTCGGACATCCAGGGTGACGGCGTATGCTTCCCGCCCCGCCGAAGCTCGTTTGTTTCGACGCCGCGCGGCTGCGGGCGCGCGTTTGTTGTTAAACAAGTGAGTTGCGCGTGGAGGCGGAGAGACACGAGACGAGACGCGGCGCTCAAATCGGGTTTGCGGTCCCGGCGGCCGGAAGGGGGAGCGAGAGGCGCCCGCCCTGGCGCCGCGGCGGCCGGTCCGGTGGCGCGCGTCAATCGGGCGGCCGCCCCGCCCCGCCCCGCCCCCCGCGGCGACGGCGGCGGCGGTGATTTAATATGCGTTTGACGGTAAACGAGGGGCTGCTGCTGACGCCCAATTCCATCAGCCGCCTTCGCACCGGGCAAGCCTCGACGGCGCTTTTCTGGACAGGCGGGACGAGCTGCTCGCGATGCGGTGGGGGGGGGGGGAAATATAGTGTCTGAAAAACTTGCTTTACGTTGAAGTGACATTCGAATACTAGCAAATTATTGAAAGAGTAAGGAATTAACCTAATATTGAAGTGAAAAGCAAGCTGCTTGACCTATGTCGAATAGTGATTTATTTTAAGTATTGTTCTGTTCGTAATGTACCGTAATGTGAGATTACGATCAGGGGCCAAAACGGCCCATAACAAGTTTTACGGTAATCGGTTGAAGTAAAAAATGTACGGGCTACTCTTTTCGCATACGCGAAAGTGATTGTACTTGTGTATAGACTTGGGGGCAGATAGTGACGTAATTATGGTAGTGAATTGCCGCATCTGTGTACTGTAAAGTGAGCGAAAATGTGCGGATGTTTTTGTTTGCTTTTGAATAAGAAAGTAAAAATAATACTCTGTAAATTGTGATGAGTGAAGATGTTATTTAGAAAAAAAACAAGTGAATGCGTCAATAGCGACGTTAGGTGGGCCGCGTTTGAAGCGGAATGGGGGGGGGGNNNGGCGGAGTAATCCGCCGGGGCTAAGTGCTCTGGGGAGATTACTCACGGCGCCGTCCAGCCTCCCCCGCCTCCCCCGCCTACTGTCACCTTATTTACTTTTCGGCGTTTTTCCTCCGAGCGGCCCGGGCTGCGGAGGTCGTTGGCGATGCCGTTGCCGCGAGGCGCGACTGCGCCCTGAGATTAGCTCCGCGTCTCCTAATCTGGAAGAAGCTCGCTCGGCCCTTCCCATTAGCGACCGCGTCGCCCTCCCCGTCCTCGCTCGGCCGCGTTCTCCTCTCGCACGCGCGCTCGTGGTTTGCCGCGAAGACTTGCACGCGGACGGCCGTCCCGCTCTCTAAGCGTCGGTCTGCGGCCGGGTTGCACAAGTGTTGTCCGGACGGATTTTGCTCAATTCGCTTACGACCTCCCCCCTCCCGCTCCGCCGGTGCGTTGCGCTGTCTACCCTCAAGAGGTTTAACAACCACGAATCAGTATTCGGAAGAAGGCCACGTTTCGCGCGTGAAATTGTACCTGCTGGGTTGTGGGCAGCGCCGTGCACGCCCCTCCGGAGGCAGCTCGCGAGGGAGCCGGCTCTGGCGCTTCAAAAGTTGCTAGTTCCTGTGCGGCAGAATGACGTTTCGTCTAGTTGTCAGTGAGGGACATCCGCAGTTTACCCGATTACTACAGGAAGCCGAAGAATGCGCGTTGACTTACTTGTACAGAGCAAGCAAACATTTTCTAGCGCTCGACGGCGAAACGAGCGTCTGGCGAATGTGCCAAATCCGATTGACGCCGCTCGATTTTTGAAAATTTGGTTCGGTTGCACGTTGCAGGTGGAGGTATTTGGTACGCCGCGGTACAGCCTGCGCCAGAGGTTGGTGAGCCTACAAGACGAAATACCATTTTCGGCAGTGAATAATTTATGGGCGAAGTGTTACGATTACGACTCTTCCAAGTTCTCCTTTTGTCCCGGCGCGTTACGGCCCTGCGTCATGGCTGCGCTTTACGATCGGCGGCCCCTTGTACCCCCCCCCCTCCCCCCCCCCGCGCCGCGCCAGGCCTGTCACTGTCCGTCGTGGTTTTTTGCTTTACATCTGGACTGTGCGGAAGTATAAGCGATAAGTATTATTTTTATATATGACTGGGCTATAACATTCAACATCTAATTAACCGGGCAATGTTAGGTCTGTGTTGCATTCCTTTTTAAATTTAATTTAATGTTTTGGATTACGTTTTTCTTTCTTTGATCCCGTACGTTGTAGCGCAAAAACCCAACACGGATTCTGTTAATAACGAAACATTAACTGTTTACTGATGAACCTTACTTGATGGGTTTGAGAGAGAAACTACTAGGATTTTTGTTGAGAAAACAGTTCGTGAATTTTCAAAACATAATGAATTGTAATTCAAGTAGGAAATGATTTCAATTAAGTTGAAAGAGACGCTCACGTAGAAATTTGCTTTGAGAGCATCGTTACACTTGATAACCGAATTTGGTACTTCATATAGAATCGACGTTATTTAGCTACCTTAGTTTTCGTGCGAATAATTCGTTACAACAAAAAAGCTTTTTTAGATTCTCATTTTCGATCAGTTCAAAGCAGCTATTCTTAATTTAGTTTCATTGCATTTCCTCTTGTACCCTCCTCTAGATGTTGCGAGGAGTAAGGAAATTTGAAAAATAGCCTGAAGAGCAGTTTTGACAGTTGCAGTGTGAGCAGTAAAGAGATACTTTAATGTTGCCCTTACTTCAAAAAATAATAGTAATCAGGGTTTGATTTCTAGCGTAACGCGACGAAACCGTGTTCCGGGACTCGGAATAATTATTAAACTATACTTTAAATATATAATTATTTCTATCAAATTAATTTTGTGGTGGGTTCTTGGTACAAAAGTTTTATAAATGAAGCACTGGTAGTAGTGTCAAGAAGGAGAAAAAATTTGAGTACCTTTCCATTTAATTTCCCATCTAGGGCGGCAAGTGTGCGTCCCTGCCGCATAAGTGCTTTCGCTCATTGAATAAAACTATCACTCAAATATAATGTTGATATTAAGTATTGGCCGTATTTGTAAAAAGATGTTTTGCGTTAAAAGACGTATTGTTTAAAATGCTGGATGTGGGAGTAAATCTTATTAATTTCGATCTTTCTGCTCTCGGCGGCCGGGAACTCAGAGAAGGCGAGACAAACGATCACACCGCAATGCTTCAGGTCCTTTGCGACCCCGAACTAATATTTATTCGCACCCCTCCCTTGACGATCAGTTGCAACCTCTTTAGCTCTGATATTTGCTTTGGTTCCCGTGGTCTACTTCACTTACTTTCGTCACTTTAGTTGAAGTCTCCAAATGTTCAGTTACTCTGGCAAGTCCATTTGTGAATTGACCTTTAACAATCACATTGTCCCACGTTAGGGAACACTGCATTAGATAATGCGTGATTAACGCCGGGTAGCTATGTAGCGAACCCTCTTCGTCAAAAATGTTTATGAAATCGTACGTACAGCTTGGTTTTATTCAAGTTGTTTAGTTTAAAGAAAACGGCGTTCTTGTTTCATTGTGTTATTGTAGGAATAGTAGCGAAAGCAGCACTGCCCGAGACATTGCTTGGAATGAAGCGTGATTTTTCGTGGGTGCCGTGAATTGGGAATGGGCGAGCGAGGGAGCCGGCCATGTTTAGCCCTCCGCCAGCGCCTGCACCGGTGTGCGCTCCTTTCTTCCACTTTGTTCGAGCAAACAAGCTTTTAGCGGGCGGCCCCTTCCCTCGTCCCGCCCCGCCCCGCCGCCAGCGCACGCAACCGAAATCGCGTGCCTCGCCGCCGCCGGCGGCCGTCGCAGCCGCGGAGGCCTGTTATTCTTTGCGGCCTGCTGCGTCACTGTGCGCGGGCGCAAACGCGGCGGAGCGGGGACGGGAGGGCCGCGTCGCGAAGGCGGGCGCGGGGGGCGGGGCGGGGACAACCCTGCCCAGCTGCACGCCGCACGAGGTGGGGGCGGGACGTCCGTCGTCTCGGTAAATCCTCCCGGAAGCCCTTGGGAGCCGCCCTCGGACACTCGGATGTATGCGCCGTAACTCGCGCCGCTCCCGCCCTCGGCCCGCCCCTCCCCCGGCCCCTGTGCGCCCGCTGGCGCGGCCTGCGGAATCGAGTGGTGGGATTGAATCCGAGGGCTGGTGCCGTTGCAGTACCTGCGGCGAGCAGTGGCTGTGGCCCAGGCTCCCTGAGTTGAGTCCCCAAATTGGACAAGGGCACTTTGATTTCTGGTGACTCGTTTGAATTTGCAGTAGGCCTCTCGTGAATGTCGCTTGTGTTTTTCAGATACCTGTCCGCATTAGATTAATACGCGGAAATATGTGATTGCCATTTGGTTAACTCTTTTTCATTTAAGCTAACAAATGTACATTTTTCTCAGAATGAAAGATGCATTTACAGATGAAATCCTACTCCATCTTGGTAAGGTTATTGATGTGCAGATATTGCATTATTCTTGGACCCAGGCGCAACGCTGTGTTATTTACACACCCTAACAGCGAAATCAGTTCTCTCGCTCTCACTTTTTCTTTCATTTGTTCTCGTCCTCAGTGTTTAAGCAGCCTCTCGTATTTGGAACCGTCGCCTCTTCCAGTTCGCTAGCGCGTCCCCGCCCTAAACGGCGCATGAATAAAACATGGCGTTCGGATGACAAAAGCCACCCTTGTAACCACCGCCTTATGTGTGTGCTCAGGCTTTCTTGGAGATGGCGGACGAGGTGGCGGCGTCCACCATGGTGACGTACTTCACCAACTGCATGGCGCAGCTGCGCGGGCGTGCAGTGTACGTGCAGTTCTCCAACCACAAGGAGCTTAAGACCGACCAGACGCACTCCAACGCTGTGAGTATTCACCAGGTAGCTACCCAACTTGAACTCTACATTTTTCACATTTTGTGTGTATCTGTGAGTGTATGAACTACCTACCCCTGAACTAAGGCAGGGAATGGGGCTAAAGCCTGCATGCCCTTCCCTTTACTGGGCAGCTGATCATCGAAGTGGAAGTGTGAAGGATCTGTGATGACGGAGAAGATTCTGATGGGATACTCGTGCCCCGCTCCTCCGCACCACAATTGCGTGGTTGGACCTACTAGAGTCTCGGATCAGCAGGTTCCCTTAAGCCTTCTTCGGCGCTGCCCCGAGCCTCTGCTCTCTTGGGACGGAAGGAGTCGGTTACGGACGTTAACAATATGCTCTTGCATGTTGTACTGTTGTACACCATCTGCAATGTTGACGTGTAGGTAGGGTTTTAACATGCGGCCCCGCAAACCCGCCTTCCTTCGTTCCGTCTCGCTCCTTTCCTCTTCTCTCCGCGAACTGCACATACAACTTACAAGTGCGCGCTGCTAATTATATGAGAGTGCAAGATTGATAGTAAGATTCATATTTAATTACTCTGACATGAAAGGTCGTAGTTCGCTCAGTCGGTTTTTTAAAATATGTATATCTCCGCAACAGCTCTAGCAATCTGCAGTTCAGTGTTCACGACCAGAAACGACGCAACATTTTCGAAAAAAGCAAAGTTTTGAATGGGTGGTAAAGTGGGCGTCAATGAAAACGGGAATTAGAAAGTGGAAGCTTGGAATTGACAATCTGACTACGTGCAAAGCGGTGGCAGTCGGAGGGGCGGAAGAGTCGTGATTTCGCAAAAGATGCGCCGAATGCGAAAGTTGGATGCCCTTTCACCACTATATGTTATTTAGTGCTTTGACGAAATGGCACGTCACTTAAATATGTCACCGTTACTCTATTCAAATAGGGAGATAACTAACATTACCAGATATGCGGTATTCGTGTAGATTCTCAAAGACGTACTTCAGTTCAGTATGCAAGGGCGCCAAGTCATAGTGATGAGATTTGCAGACTCTACGCCACTATATAGAATTGAAAACCTTTAGTGATTTGTCAATACTTCAATAAGGAAATTGAGACTTAAGACAACCGGAATTCCAGGAGCCTGCGGAGCTTGTAGAGCATTGATGGCACAAAGCCCTTCGACATTTCCTTGTTCAAAAAGTACTCCTAATACAGAATTCGAATTTTGTATTAATTTTCGAGAACGGAACAGTCCATAGGTATACATTTTCTCGAACTCTTGCATAGATTCATGAAGTGGCAGCGGTTCCAGAGAATGAACATGAACAAAGAAGTGTGTCTAGTTTTTAAAAATAACAATCTTTTGAAGTACCTCCGGAAACTAATCTTTGTTCTGAGAAGTCTAAATACTCGAATTATACTGTTCCAAGTAGTTTCTTCAATTAATGGTAGTACATTTACTGCTTTCACAAAAACCAAAATATTGTAAAGATGAAAAAAGAATACTGATATAATTTACGCACAATTAGCGGAAGTGTCTTTTTTCTTTTTTTCAATTTCTAACAGAGTAGCGACTTATAGAACGGTAGCTGACGTTCTGGTCGTTGATGCGAGTTTGATTGTTCTCTTAGCCCTTTGATGCACAGGAGGAGAAGGTTCTGCTTTTGATTATCCCTGAAACAATTAAGGTGTTTGTTAGGTTGTATGATAATTTAATCCTAACATGTGTAATTTTAACACTCCAAACAATAGTTTGCTTACCACTACATACGGATAGCACTGTTTGGATACTTGCAAGCAGTAACTCACGGTGGGACTCACGTGCAGTAAGAAGATAGGGAATGAAGTGCTGGAATCGTGCCGCTGCGTCTTTCGCCGAATGAGCGCAATTGGCTTCCGTTGTCGCTCATTGTGGCAGCTGCATCCATTGAGCATGCACCCGGACGCAAACCGGATATTTACTTTTACTTTACCTTTTACTAGGTACATTTCGTACTAGGTTTTCTACAAACATGAATAACCATTTAATTTTCCTCAAATAATAAGCTCTAACCTTCACGGAATAAATAAGGATGCTTGGTAAGAGATTGTTGCCGCAGGTAATGAAATGTCATTTCCATTCCCCGTGTTAATTAAGTAGAATTTTTTTAAATCTCGAAACTTATTTAAAGAGTACTCGTAGTATCTTGAACCTCTAATGATTGGAAAGTTCCATTTGCCATTGAAAGTCTTGGTTTTCACGTTTAATAGCATCGACATAACTCGTCGTCTTTTATACATTTGTGTGATTTGATCAAGCTCGCATGTTAACGAGGGACGAGCGCGCGTTTGGACGTGCGCTGGAAGTGGCAGTTTCGCGCAGCCATCGCGGCGGAGCGCTAGCGCCGTGGTCAAGCGGGCCCCGCCCCGCC